ACCACAATACCGGTGATTGACCAGATCTAGACATGCAGGCGTGTGCTGATAAACGATATTGGATTGCTTGACAACTTTGATCCCAAATATTTTTGTTTTTGTTAAATTTGTTCATAGTTTTCCTCTATGCACAAATTTAGGGGGAGAATTAAAAAAAATTCGAAAATCAAACAAAAATCAGAAAATTAAAAATCCAAAAATAGTGTTATTTCTGTTTTATTTTTTTTCAGAAAATATGAAAAATCCAAAAATATTGTGTGCTAAGTTTTATTTTAGTTTTGTTTCTATTTTTAGCTTTGTTTGTCTTGAAAAGTGAACTCAGATGTACATGAGACTCGTGGAGACTGTATCAAGAATTTCCAAGCCAAGGCTTCATCCGTGATCATCGAAGAATTCTCATTCGAAGGAGCAAGAAATGAAGATTATTCTTCCAACATTCAATCTTTCAACCCCAGAAGCAAGGTGAAGCTGACTTGAAGATTATGTGACAGATTGCATTGAAGTCTCCTCAATCAATTTGTTGCTATTCTTGAACCTGCTGAAGTGATCAAGAAGATTATTTCTCTCTAAAGATTCTCAAGCTGAAAGCGCCATCTTTCAAAAATCTTTTCAAGAAGCCTCCTCACCCACCGTGCGTCCAAAGCCAAATTCTGAAGAAAAGCCCAAGTGCTCAAGATGAAGTCATTCATTGAAGATTCATCAAGTTCATCTTGATGTTGTGAAGAAAATTGAAGATTAATGCTGAAGCCAAGCTCCCGATGAAGATTGACAAGAAAAGCCAGCTACTTTTTAGGGGAGTTTGTTGGGTCAATTAGAAAAGAAAGCTATAAACCAAGGGGGAGATTGTTGGGTCAAAATTTGGTCTATACTTTGCTTTTCTAGACAACTGTATTTTTCTGAAGTGTAATATGTGTTTGCGGTAATGTTCACGGCCAGGTTGGTGTGTACGACCGTAAACGGGTTTACGGCAGTAAACCCGTTCACGGCTGTGAACCCGTGTACGGCCCATGTTTCCTATATATATAGGTGTAAGGGGTGAGGAGTGGTTAATGAACAAGAGGAGTGTAAGGCTAAGAGTGAGAGCATATTGTAGATAGATAAAGTTAGAGAGAAGAAGAGTGTGTGTGTGTGTGAGAGAGAGAATCTTGTGTAAGGATCATCATTCATATCTTCAATACATTCAAGATTCAAATTATTTTTCTTCTCCTTCTTCTTCTATTTTGATATGGCATCATCCGTTTGATTGGGAATCCGCACCATCAAACGGATCTGATTGATACACAAGCAAATTGGGGACTTACATACTTGGTGGACTAGTTGTTTGTTCATTGGGGGCTATTCATACCATGATTAAGTTGATTTGTATTGTATTTGATGATTGCAGGAGCTTGAAAGTGGAAAAGCACTCCTTCGTTTGGCTCATCTATACGAGGTTTTACCAGATTGTTCCAAGTTTTTTATTTTTTTCTTCATGAAATGTTTAGTTATGATTATAAACTGGCGGGGCGTTTGTTATGTGGATTGAAAGGTGGGGGAAGACAAAGATTACTCTGTAATGGCAAGTGTGGAGCTGAAGAAGCTGTTCCCAGATAGGAAGGTATATCCATAAGTTGGTTTTAAATGTGATTGTTTTGTTGTCCATTTGATTTATGCGTGTGTGTGTGTTTCTCGGATAAGGAAGGTAACAGAGATGAATATGTCGGGCAATCAACAAAGAGGCGAGATGGAGAGGAAGAAGCTTGCTTGGAAAGTGAAAGGTGGATCTGAGAGGGAGATAGTTAGGGGAGGTGGGTTGATCCTGAAAAGCTAGTGGTGGAACTTGGGCCCATGGAAATCCGAACATTCTTCATCGATTTGTATTATCTCGGGATGTTTGGTTCGGTTAGTGATGAGGTGCTTGGTTGATGTAATGTAAGACAGACTATGTTTACTGGTGACATCGATCCAATCTGTCTCCAATACGAATACGAGGGAACAAATAAAAATGGAAAACAAAAAATGTGGGCTGCTCTTTTTGTAGGCCGACCTTCGGTTGTACAACCCAAGGTTTGTGCTTTTCCACATCAAAGTTGAAACATGGATTCGTGTTGATGTTTTTATTTTTGACAATTTTTTCTTTTGATTTTGTTCTAAACTGTAGTTGTTGGTGGAGGAAATTTGAAGTTGCATTATGCTACAAACTAGGAAGAGCTTATACGTTATACAAATAAAAGAAGCTTGGTAACTGTAAATTAATTCCTTAAATCCAAATATACTATTTAATTTTTCAGCTTGATAAACATTCTCTTTTTTGGCACATGGTTGAAGGTTGAAGGAGCCATGGAACACTCGTACAGCTACTATTCTGGTTATAATGGGACAGACCAGGTATATTCAATTTCTCAACTAAAATGTGTGTTTGTGTGTGTGTAGTGAAGTTAGCCTTGGCTCAGGGGAAAATGGGTTATGGGTTATGGGTTATGGGTTCATGTTTCTAAGCCTCCAGAGAATGCATATGTTAAGCAAATCTTTGAAGTAAGTGATAAAAAAGATTCAAGATTAAAGAATCATTGTAGTTTTTGGAGTTTCATATAATCAATATAAAAATGATAACCATTTTGCTGAGATTGTGTTTGTTTTTTATTGCATTAGAGAGTTTGTGAGTGAAGATGCAGTTGTTCAGAGTGTGAAATTGGTTGCTGAGAGTCTTGCAGTAAGATTTTAATACAAATATTATTTTATTATTTGATTACAAAATTTTGATGATTTTGGTATTATGTCAACAGAGGCATATATACGGTCAACAAGGGAAGAAGATGGAAATATTTACAGATAACACAAGTTTAAAGGAGATGTAAATTACTAGTATAAATAAGGTCTGTTTATGCTTATGTTTCTATATTGACGATGACATCCCAAAATTTTAATATAAAAAAAATACATTTCTTCGGAAATGTTTTGATAATATATTTATCATCTTTTCTGGGAACAAATTCCTCAATATATTTCTGTAAAAATACTGATTTTCAAATAAAGCATAAAAAAATCGGTCTTTTCTGGCCGTGAAATTGGGGAAGTCACAGAATCATTCAACACTAATTGAATAATTCAGATTCATTAAATAGTCCCTTTGTAATTTTACTATTTTTCAAGGGAGTTGATAGTTTTTGACAATCAACGTCTCAAAATTAACTAAATTTATTCACTAAGATCTAACCATGCTAAATTGGATCATAAAGTCTGAGTTTTAACTCGTTTGGCGTCTTACGACCTCATGTAGTCGGTTATGCGGTTCCCCTGTCTACATGACATCCTAAATTAGACTTTGAACTTCTGATCTTGCTAAATTAAACCCTGAACTCTGAAAAAAAAAACTTTTTTTCTTTTATATTTTTTTTTATCAAAACTAAATTCGGTTTTAAGTTTGCTTTTTCGTATTTATTTATTGTTTTCATTTTTTTTATCAATTTGATAATTTTCTTTTGACATTTTTCAAAAAATATAAATTTTATGAATATATTACAGTATATTAATTATACGAATGGTTCTTATGGTTTAGAGTAATTTGCATGTTTGGTCTCTAACTTATTATAAATTTAGGCTTTAAGTTTTTTCTCTATATGTTTTATAATTTTGGTTAATTATGGTTTTCCTGATG